TACTTTTGACATGTTTAACTTCTAACCACCTCTGCTTAATTTTGGGTAAAAAATTTATTTTATGGGCCAATTGGTTAGATAATTATGTAGGTAGGCTATTTGACTCTTCATAAAAGTAAATGAAGCAATTAAAATGTGTACTATCTGTTATATGTCCGGTAATCTAAAATCCCGAAATATTGGCTTAATTAGTAATTCTCAAGATACTTAATTTGAATAACATTTTTAACAGGATGTACCCGTGTTGGTCTCGGACAAACTACGAGCCAAAGTAAATACATTAGATGTTTACCACGAGCAAGTAGGTGTATGACGTTTCTGAATAAAAAAGGCACATTTTTCGCATTATTCTTTATGATTTAAAGACTATTCTAGAATAGAGGAATTGATATAATTAATTATTTCTAGAGTACTTTATTTAGCTTTTATCGAAAATAGCATTACCCGGTGAGGATACAGTTGTATTCTTGCAACAAACTAAAGATAGGTAGAACAATACTATACTTTATTACTGATTATGTAAGTATATGTATTTTGTGTAAAATCAACAACAATTTATAAATAGCATAGGCACAAATGTCTAAAGGTATCATAATTACTGATGAATCTAATTTGACATTGAAATCCAGTACGATAAACCAATGTGTCCCAATGAGTATGACGGTTTTTTGTTGCCCAAAATATCGCTTACCACGTCTTGTTTGTGAAACAAATATTTACATGCTCTTACTCCTTCCTGACAGGGATCCGTGCGTGAACGATCCACCTGCTTCGACATTGAAATATTAAAGCGAATCGCCTACGCATGCATAATGATCATTTCTCGAGAAAAGTGCATTCAGTTTGCAAAGAACCTTAAAACTTTCCACAAAGGTTGATAATTCAGTAACGAGAAAGTACTGCATGGCATATATTGTGTATATGTATCGATAAACGTGTCTGTATAGTCGTCGCTTTGTCTGCCGAAGCCGTCTGGCCGATGCTTTACAACGCCGTCAGAGCCGCTCTTGCGACACTGAAACTGGTTTCCAGTCTCACTCAGACTCACACAATGGCCAAAAGACATAATTTGCGTAAATGAAATAAGATTTATTTTCATCCACTACTTTGTATTACCGCTCAGAAACAAAAGAAACTCAGTTGAACTTCTTCCCATTGATTGTAGTACAACATAAATCACTAATGACGTCAAAAATTTTACTCATTCTCATTGTACGTACAATGTTATTATTTGCAAAAATGTTTTCATGATATTGCTGTGGACTGTGTGGTTTTGCTGATTTGGTACAAGTAACTTAATAATAAGGCTATTTATTTAAAGGTCAAATAAACTTGCTCCAACTTTCGACGGGATCTACCAAGTTTTATGGGTCATCCATTACAATAAAAATAAAGAAATACGTGATTCTTCAACCGCAATGTGATGAAAATTGTAATAAGAAGATTTGTGTCTCTTATTTAATTTAAGAAACTAAGATATTAAATTAATTTTGATTGCACAAATTATCTGCAGCAATGTGACCTTTGAAATTTTTACAACTTATTTTAACAAATTGGTGTCAGTATAATTTATATTAATTGCTCAATTGCCTTTTGTAAACTATGTTTTTGAATCAAACTGAAAAGCTTTTGAATTAAGCTAAGTACCTACTTCAAATAAAAAACATAGATACGACTACGAAAACATTAACTGAAAAGATGACACTAAGACGATTAAAATATGTATGATAATGAGTTTGCATGAAATCTAATAATTGCTTGTTTTCGTGAACATATTAACTGACCATTTAACAACTGAGACAAGAGAAAACCAAAAATGTTATATGTCTAGTACAAATTACTCTCAAAAACATAATCCTATTTTTTAATACTAACCGGCAGATAGTGGTGACTGACTTTGTTGCGGCGCTTCTTCTCAGCACTTGCCAAATGTTGGTCTCGAAGCACTGGTAGGGTAAAAGGATTATGAGACATGTGGAGGCTCCTTATGGGCAAAATATTTGACGATTTGTAAGTACTATTTATTAGTCTGTACAAATAAAGAAATGTTGACTTTAATAAAAGATTGTATCGAAGTCCTTGATATTGTTCTCACATTTAAACTGGACCACGCATTAACATAACATGATGCATCTTAAAGTGCCAAGGTCTGTCATCTATGACCGCTCGAACTGCTATTATTGTTTCCAGAAATTTACGACCCTACTTAATAAAGATATCGAAATGAGAAATATATTACTTTTTATATACATATCGAATTAATTCAATTGTTTTTTTATCTATCTTAAATGGTATAAAGATGATAACGCAAAATAGTGACCACGTTAATGTATTTATGGTTTTCTGATCACTTAACTTATTTTGCTCAAACTTTTTAGTCTTGATTGAATCCATTGTTGCCATTTTAATGGTATGCAAATGTAACTATGATAAAATTCGTTCATTATCGAAACCCGTTAGACTTTTATAAATAGGAATGACACCAAACTTAATTTATGAGTCATAAATAAGCTAAAATTGTCATTTTGGGGTTGTTAGATTGCCACTCTTTCTGAAGTTCTGTAACGCTTAATGTTCATGCTAATAAATTACACGGCAGCTCACATCATAAGACCTAGTTGCTTTATAAGCAGCCCGTTACTTAGAAGTCAATTAGAAGCTATAGAAATAAAAACAATTCAAAACGTTTCAAACACCCTCGCATCAACTTTCAGGAGGAGAGATCGAGAAAGTAGAGAGCTTTAACCATTATATCTGAAATAGTCGAGCGGCGCCGCGGTGGTGGGAACCGAACCCGTGTTCCCCGTCCGACCCCTTCACCGTTCGGCTATCGTGGCTTTTTACATAATTATTTTAGTTACATATTTTAATTTAAAAACAAACAAATACCCACCTTAAAATCCAAAGTTAGTTTAAAGCGGCAATAAAAAGTTATATTTGTGAATACAAGACATTGCTAAGTAAGTAAGCCCCACCATAAAATTTTAGGCACAAAATCATGAATGAGTTTCGTTTATTATGAATAAACTTTAAATGATGTTGATTTAAAGCTCGTATAAATTCCATTACCTTAAATCACTATTGTTTTAGAATTGCAAATTTTTATTAAATGATATTTGACACCGTATTAAGTCCGTCCTGATATTTAAATTATTATCAACTCGAAGAACATGCTGCTTGGAAAATTTTACACTCTATCAGTTTGACCTGTCATTGAAATTGATCAAAAATAGATTTAACATCAAAACCACTTGGCGTAATTTTTATTCCATGTAATCAAGACGTCCTAAAAATATCCGAACTTAACATTTAATTATGTGATTAATGGTTAATAAAATGAAATAAATCAAAAAATAAACGACTAGGATCAACCAACGTGTACGTGATTGCTTCAAATTAATCTCAAATATCTTTGATTTTCAGTAATTAACAGACTAATAAAACTGTACCCGAATCCAGTCGCATAAAATAAAAAGTCACTAAAATATAAGTCATTAATATGTAAATATCGAAGATCGGGCAAGACTTCACATCAGGTGGTAAACCGGATTGGATGGCAACAGGCCACTTGTCACCCGAAATGTTTGACCAATATAAGTTCGTACTAACGACTTTGTCGAGATATTATGTTTTAAAATAATTTTATTACTTTCTTTCGGGTATAGAAGTTATGGACATATTAAAATTTAAATTTTATAACAGCTGCAAACGTGTCGGTTATTATTTCAATAAATATCATATTGAGCTTATAAAATCATAACTAATTAGAGAGCAAATTGAATTTCAGCCTGATTTGAACGTACCTAATTAAGGAACCGATAACATACCTAATAATTACCTCGAATATTACGTTATCAACAGTTATTGGTCAGATTAAGTGTTAAGAGCAGCTATCTTACACGCTCGTAATATTATCGCGGCGTAAAGCGTAACAGGCGTATGAAGAAAATCTAATATTGGTTTCAAGGCAGGCTTAATTAAGGTTTTCAGTGTATTTGCTAACAAGATGATATGCCAAGAACAGTGCATGCCATGACACATTAATTAGATCATATCAATTGTACAGTTACTTATTACCACTTAGGAGCAATCAACACCAATGTTTAACTTTAACTTGAACTTTGAATGTAAGCCAATTCTTAAAATGAAATCAAATCTGAAAAAAAAAAACATTACTATTATTAATTAGAAATCATCTCACTAAACTTTGTAACTTAAAACCAAATAGGTAATATTTATGTAGAGATAGGTATGGAAAACTCTCTCAGCTTGCAACAATTTATAAAACGAAAATGTTACGAGTACCTATATTGTGCTCTTTCAGGATACCACTGACATTTAAAATATTTACTTACAAAAAATATTTTTATCAAGCATAATTCATGAAAGGTAGAGCCCTCATAAATAATAAAATTATAATTTAATCATAACAGTCTCAACAAAAACCATGAAACGAAGTAGCGTATGCCTGCAAAGAGCTGGTGATTGCATATTATTTTTCCTTGTTTTTGAGTTGCCTATAATTTTGCTTAAAGACCACTTCCGTTCCGACCAATATCTGTCAACATATTTCCACGTTCGGCTGGGTCACATCACAAGAACTCGATTTCATTGACAACCGGCCTGAAGCATAATGAGTTTTAAATTATTACTGCAGATAAAAAGTGGTCGCCTGATGCCCATTTAACCTTTCTTTATTTCGTAACTGAAGATACTACACGATCGAATTAAAAGTCGAATAGGCAGCTCTACTGCGTGTTGTTTCGTCGGGTTGAATTTATGCGAAAATTATGTGTGTATTCAATAAAAAGGTTTCAAAGAATGTGTGAATTAAAATTAAATATTGATGAAAGCTTAAGGGTTACAAATTGAGGTAGTGGGTATAGGAGGTGGTGGTGAGTGGTGAGCGGACGATGCGCGGGCGCCGCGGGCGGCCGGCGTCGCTGCGTCTCCATGGTAACGGCGCCTCGGGTACATAAGGCCCGCGCGGCCGGGGTGCCACACAGATCGCTAAAACCTGTCGAGCGCGCCGCACGAAGTGCTGCGGATCACAGGCCATAATCACAATCAAGTTTGACGTTTCGTAAATAAGTGACAACTTTAGTTGCGAATCTCAACTTACTCGTGTAATTTCAGTTCCAAGTGTTGTGAAAAGACTTTAATACAAGATGATGTCCTTAGTGTTGTTTGTTTCGGGAGCTCTTCTCCTTGCAACAGCAGAGGGTTGCGGCGCTGGAAATAGAATGATAAGTAAGTACACACTTTATTTTATTTAAATCTTAAAATTAATATTTTTTTAAATAAATTAATACTCAATTAATTAATTTTAATAAAGCTTGAGCGATTCAATTTGTTACTTTAATTTTATTCTAAATTATTCATCTTTTGCTTGTAAAATATGAAGTTACTCAAATGCACTTTGCAATAAATCTTAGCAAATTATAATACACAATTTTCAATTGAAAAGGTAATAAATTTCACAGCCGCCACCCAGTCTAGAAAATGCGAACAAGTTTTGCCAAAAAGATGCTCCAATTTGCATACCCGTATGGGTCGAGGTCATAAAATTTTATTGACACTGACACCTGTGTAGCACGCACCGGTCTAATAAATCAGATAAATCCTGTGGATTATAGAATCATTCCACCTTGATTTGGTCGACATTTTATTGGTAATCAAGCGTGAATTATGTGACGAATGGAGTCATCTTTATTACGTTTCAGTGGTTTATTTATGTAATCTTTTTGTGTAGAATCTGGAGGGTTGACGGCGTACGAGAAGCAAGCGATCGTCGACGCACACAACCGGCTGCGGCAATCGGTCGCTCTTGGTCAAGTGTCGAGTCAGCCCCCAGCAGCTAACATGATGGAAATGGTAAGAAATCTTTAGAATTAAACCATGAATTAAGAATATTAAAGCAAAAAAAGGAAAAAATTTTTCAACAACACATAATATTGATAAACGAATTTCATGAACCTACTCGTATTTAGGAAACAATGATCTCATCTTACAAAGAATAAATCGATCATTCATGAGCGTGTGAAACTCTTCATATGTTTATTAATGAAGATGAAACAGTTTTAATGGCTTCTAGAGCAAACCCATATAACCTTTGATTGTGGATTCGGTACGCGTTTTACGGTCATTAATATTAATTTAAGTAATAAACTTGATCAAACTTGAAAGATTAATAGTTGTTGTGACATTTTACGATTTATCTTCCTTACAATTTGTAAAAAGTTAAATTTGTTTCTTCCTACATCAGAGTATTTGGTATCCGTTTAGTCAACAGTTTTGTAACAGTCGGTAACGTAAAAGATTTTTGGTCAGAATAAGATAACTAAAGTTTGTTTATTTTTCACAGGTGTGGGATGAAGAGCTAGCGGCGACTGCCCAACGTTGGGCTGACCAATGCACCACTGAACACGACCGCGCCTCTCAACGCGAAGTAGGTCGCTTCGCTGTGGGTCAGAACCTCGCTGCCACCTGGACCACCCGCCCGCCAAGCGACCCCGTCGACTCCCAGCCCGACTTCGCTTCGCAAATCAACGCGTGGTTCGACGAAGTCCACATCTTCGGGTACAGACCCATCAGCGGTGTGCACGGGACAGGACACTACTCTCAGGTAAATACAAAAAACCTTAAACTAGCAGGAATGCATGAAATATCATAAAATATAGCTTCATTGATTCCTTTAATCAACACTTTAACGATATTTTATGTTTATTGTTGCTATTGTTCTGTCTACTTGAGTACAAGATGTATCGGTCATTGCCTTATTCCAATCAATATTTCCCACGTTTTAGATTTGAATACTAATTTTTGTATTTCTTTAGCTGGTCTGGGGTGAAACTTCCCACGTCGGCTGCGGCTTCAGCTTCTACTATGACCCCACAAGGGGCTACACTAAACTGTACATCTGCAACTACGGCCCTGGCGGAAACGTTATCGGTGTCAAGCCCTACGAGAAGGGATATCCTTCTTGCAGCAGCTACGGTCTCTCCAACTCCGTCAAATACTCTGGTCTTTGCTGTGAGTATTGTTTTATTTCACACGTCGTAAATATTGTCTTTGAGGAACTTAATGAACTCACAAAATTGTGGTCTTGGTTGAAATCTAATGAAACATGTGTCTTGTTACAGCTGGCAGCTACACCGCTTCCTCGAGCTACCAAACTGTGGACAACTCCAACGGCTACATCTCGAACGTCATCCCCGACAGCACCGGAGACTCGCATTACAACTACCAATACAACAACCAGTACTACAACCAGTTCAGCAACCAATACCAGTACCAGTACCAGCAACCAGACACCTATTACAGACCCGAAACTACCACTTTCAGGCCTTTGGTCAGCATATTCAAATCTGCATCGAACCTTTTCGCGAAATCAAAACCACAAGTTCGATTTGGTACTTTTTATGTGTAAGTAATTCTGTAGTAATTGTAAATTAGCAGTATTTTGTTACCTATTGTGACGGTTGTGTTACTCGACTGATTATTCGGAACCGGCTAGTGCGGGGTTTCGGAACTTTGTAGATAATTTGTTATTCCTTGGTTTTACAAGGAAATTAAATAAGATTTTTCTACTGAACAATAAATTAATGTTGTTGGACAATGTGAAGGTTTCAGTAATTTTATGTTAAAATTACAATACTGTCGTGAATGACCTTCTAGTATTAGCAAAGAGAGTTGAGAGTTGTTACGTAGAAGTTTATTTATAAATATTATTATTAAAGATAAATAATAATTGTAAAATGCATTTTACTTACCTACCCCAATACACTATAAAAACATCAGACATATTATGACAGTCTAGCTGTTTCTCTGAGGATTAATCAGACTAAGCAAATTTTATGACAGTTCCTTTTCATCAACACAATTTGATACAACACAAATTTATATTAAGTTCAATCTTGAATCATCTCGTACGTCACTATTTCAACTAAGCATCTTTCACCAGAATGTAAACTTACTACCTACTATGAATAACAATTAGGAGCCTCTATGAATATTGCAAATACTTATCTGAGGAAAATATCGTGCAAATGCAATGGAAAAAAACTGCATATCGTAAGAACTATATAATAAACCCCAAAGGCCTTCGACAATTTTGTAAACTAGAGATAAATCTCTCAATTAAGGGTGGGTTGCACCACCTTACTTTGACCGTAACTTTAACGATAACCGTCGTCGGAATTTGACAGATTTTCGACGTTTGTCAAAGTAAAAGTAAGATAATGCAAGCCAGCCTAAGTGTCACTAATCTAATCACCATTTCAGAAGACAGTGAAATAGTTCATTAATTCATAAGAGGCATAGACAGCTTGGAGCCAACTTAGTCAGCTTTATTTTTGGTAGTCTTTTGGCATGAATGGTGAATCTAATTAGCAATAAATAAAACTTTTAAATGCTATGTCAGAGTTCAAATCCAAATATCATTGACTCAATAAACTGAAAATAATACCAATAAGGAATTTAGATAATAATAAAAAGTTAGGCAGAAGATTCTGACCAAATGTAAAGATACAATTTCGTCAAAAGTCATGAATATTAATATTGACAGGTCCTTGTGACAATATTTCTTGTCGATTACATCATTTTATGTATACTGAATTAATATTTACTTACTTGATATTTTATTCAAATATCTTCACCTGCTTCAGAAATCAGGTTATCTCAAATTGTATTGGAAAAGACACAAAATTTACACCATTTTATTTGTTATTAATATTTCCTGAAAGAAAGAGTCAATAAGCAATTTTGTGATATGGCCAATCATGATGATGATGATGATGATCTTTTTTTAAAACTCCATTCCTCAAATGATAAATAATATTAACTGCCTATACTTACTAATCTGAGGCCCGTTGAAGATATGAATTATAAAGCTTTTAATTCTACTAAATAAATAATTATGTCCAATATTTCAGACGTTCGTAAATTAATCAAATTATATGGGGTATTGAAATAAGGTAAGCAGCAATTATAGTTTATCGTACATATTTCAGTTAAATAATGAAACACCGTAATACTGCAACGACACGTGTATTCGTAGTAGTATAAAATAATTCAGTGAACGGTGAACGTACTTATTTCCTTTCGTTATCCTGTTAGAAAAAATCACCAGGTGATATTCAGTAGGTACGGTTAAGGTTAAACTGCATGATGTTTAATGTCAAAAGGAAAATACGCAAGCACGAGACCGATAGCTGAAATTTAAAAATAGACATAATTTCATGAATGATACTTCTTTTCAGCAGCACATACATGGCTCTCATAAGATACATAGTAAGAAATACAAGTAAATATAGTCAATATTTCGATAATTAGTATCAAGTTTTGACTAAAGCAAAAAATTTTAAGAAGAGGTCTGTCTGCGAAATATGTTTATGGGTACTGTACTGACAGTTAATAAGTTTCAAAAACTCTAAAAACTAATAAGTATATCTACATCGTAGGTACTGCTGCATATTATAAATTAGAGCGAGAACATTTAGAACTGTCATGGATTTTCTCAAAAAATCCATTATAATAAGTGTTTTGAACTTATCCGCCTGATAAAGATAATAATGATCTAAAAAAAAACAAATATTATAGCTTAAAATCTAGCTAGACCGGGTACAGGTTTTCGCGCCACGCTTCAGTACACGTGCTCGTCTCCAGTGTTCTAAACATTAAGGCTGAGTTGTACTACCTTATTTTAACCGTAAAAATTACAATAACCGGTGCTTTTCGTATAGAGTTTGACAGATTTTTAACGTTTGTCAAAGTTAAAATCATCATCATCATCTCAGCCATAGGACGTCCACTGCTGAACATAGGCCTCCCCCATGCTTTCCATATTGCCCGGTTGGTAGCGGCCTGCGTCCAGCGCTTTCCTGCTACCTTTATGATATCGTCGGTCCACCAAAGTTAAAGTAAGATGGTGCAACTCAGTCTAAGAGCCCCCGCGGACTACAGACTATTTATCGGCTGACAGTTTGTTCAGCTTCTAATGTATATTGAGGAATTGGCTGATACCAGATCGGTATAACGTGCGTAATTTACATTATTACCTCTATTAAACTAACGGCCAAAAAAAGTCTATAATCTGCGGAAAGTCTAAGGCTGAGCTTATTTATTTTTATTTATTTNCATGTACAGAATTGACCTCTCTACAGATTTATTATAAGTATAGATATCCGAAAGTTTCGGTTACGGTTACGGATATTTGAATGCAATTCGCAATAGTTGTCCAACACGGTTGCACACTTTAAATCGAATAAAAAGTATAAAAAAAATAAAAATTGATACTAGATGGCATTATAGGTAAATCAGGCTGTTGCCTTTACATAATACATATAATGCTATACAAAAACAATTTAAACTGCCTACATCCGAAACAATCCGAAACTTTTGAATCGGTTACGATATCGGATATTTTTTTTATTCCGGATATCCGAAAGTTTCGATTACGGTTACGGATATCCATAACATCCCTGACTTTGACCAACATAATGTGTGTCATAATGATGTGACAGAACATACAAATCTGAAGTTTCGCTGACATTTGACGTAACAACTCCGAGGTCAGTTCCAATTTTGTAAAATTCCAAATCCGCTTCCGAATTCGGTTTCCAAGTTAATAAATAAATAAATAAATCTTTAGACAATTACACACAGCGCCAGCTAGCCCCAAAGTAAGCAACTTAATGCTTGTGTTATGGGTGCTTGCTTAACGGATATACTACTTATATACTTTGTTTTTTTTTTTTAAATATATACATATTATACATAGTAACACCCAGACCCGTCACAGAAATTAATTTTCATCATTTCAATTTCTGCCCGGCCGGGAATCGAACCCGGAACCTCTCGGCATAGTAGTCCGCTCTGAACCACTACACCAAACGGCCGACAGTTCCGATTTAACCACATCCGTGACATTTATTTATTTTATTTATTTATTTTAGGAATTACAAACAAATGTGTTACAAAAATTAACTTATCTACTAGACTTATGTATTATTTATGTGGTAACACATCCCACTACGTAATCCACATATTGATAATGAAACCATGTATAATACATTGAGATATAATGTACGTAGTAATATTACTTCAATGGTATAATATAGAGCGAGGCAATTACAATTAAGGTACACCTTATAAACGCGGTGTAGCTCAACACCAAGAAGTAATAAATATTATGTTCAGACTTTTAATTATTAATTTTGTTCTGTTTTTTTTTTTTTTTTTCATTTAATTTATCTTAATTTTAATTTGGTCACTTTGCAGAGTGTCTAAAATATGCTTTTTAAATCTTGAGGAACTCTGGGAAAAATCGATGCTATTAAAATTCTGGTTGTAAATGGACAACAGTCTATTGAGTGGGGCTCGTAAACCCGCATTGGTTTTACACAAGTCTACATAAAAGGTTCTCTCGTCTCTGCGTGTGCTTCTGAGCGCAGCACGCCTGGGGACGCTTAAGTGGATCAGGTTACAGAGGTCTATGCAATCGATTTCATTATTTATTAGATTGTATAAAAACATGGCTGATAGGAGCAATCGTCTAGAATCAAGGCTCAAGAACTTAAATTTGGTTAGCAGCATTTCGTAAAGGACCCGAGAGCTCGAACACATGAAGTTAACTTTGCGTAAGAATTTACGCTGGACTTTTTCAATGGAGTTGGAGTACTTTTTGTAGAATGGGTTCCAAACCGGCACAGCATATTCGAGCTGGGATCTTACAAGCGAACGGTACAAATGCAATAATGTGTTGGGTTTTTTAAAAGCTTGCACCACTTAACATTGACCATAACTAGGTATAACTGCTATAACGTTAACCGGTGTATTTTGTATGGAGTTTTGACATTTTGACGTTTTGACAGATTTTGGACGTTTGTCAAAGTTAATGTTAGATCATGCAACCCAGCCTATTAGAATCACAATTGGCATCGATACTACGGCCCTCTGTCTGTTGTCATAAACTATTAGCAGTATTGAAATGATACTGTCATCGTGTTTAATTAGGTAAATAATACCTATTGTTCATTTAATTAAGAATGACATAGATTATCCGGACGTTTCAAAATACGGGAAGGAAATGGATTAAATATTTGCAAGATTTTTTTATGGTCGACGAAGATTTTCTAAAGTAGCAACATCGTTCAATTAAATAACTTCACTACTTACATAACTTTGCCAGTTCAAGGACAGTTAATATGGCGGGCGGCTTAAGAAGCAACTTTGAGACATGATGCAGGATGTTTGATTATTAGGTGTAATGTATGTTTGGCATTGAATTTTATAGATACTATTTTCTGCTTGTACTCGATTTGTTATCTACGTAAACTCTATAAATAAAAATGTATCGTCCAACTAATGTTTTACAAATTTTATCCCGTGTGATTTTCAATTATTTCAAAAACCGCTACCTATATCATTCTTAGCAAGTACTGCTGTATTTGGAATAGGTGCAGTTGGTTGATATTTGGTTCACGAATGATTATAATTGGTTTTGTTATACTACATTAACACAAACAATGCCCAGGCTTTGGGACTCATATAATAAATGACAGAGCACAATTTTAAGCGCCAATCACAATATTTGTCAATAACACAAAGCTTGGTTTTAAATAACCAAACATCGATACCACTACCTGTTTTCAGTTTCCTTTAATTTGTGTAATCGGCCCTCTGTGGACAGAGTGTAACCGTGAACT